TTTTAAATATACTCTTAAGAGTGGAAGTACACAAGTGCAAATGCACATTAAATACAATTAAGCACTTCTTTCACAAGCATAGATAGTACAAAAATATACATATCAAATTTTAAATACAGTATTTTGGTGCAAATTCATCTGTCACTATGTAGAAGATAGAAATCAAATTTTTCAGTGTGGAAAACTTGCGTGACTTGCTTCGAAACTAGGAGCAAAACTACACAAGGTAAGGGAAAATATGACACAAACAACACACATCAACAGACATTACAGCTGGACATTTAAAACAGACTTACCGACTGAGGCAAGATAAAATATTAGCCACCCTAGATGCATAGCAAACAGTCAAGAGATTGGGTACTGAAGAGATGACTGTCATTTGGTCACATTTATATATATATACTGTCAATGAGATCCATGTCCAACCTCCTCTTTTGTTCTTAGTTTTACCACGAGTGAAAAAACTATACAAATAGCTGATGTCATTCCTATATGTCATTAACATACACACTTTGTCTGCTGTGCTGTTTGCCATTTTGTTTATGTCTGTCTCATGGCTGATAGAAAAGTTAGTGTTAGTGGTTAGTGAAATGGCTATGTAACTTTTCCTGTGTTCAAAATTTGCAAAATGTATATAATGAGCGAGTACATCATGAATTCATCTTCCAAACCGCGTTTTGTCTTATTCCGAATAACTACGGTGCACTTATAATCAGTGTTGGGGGTAACGCATTACAAGTAACGCGAGTTACGTAATCAGATTACTTTTTTCAAGTAACTAGTAAAGTAACGCATTACTTTTTAATTTACAAGAGAATATCTGAGTTACTTTTTCAAATAAGTTACTTTTTTTTCCAATTTATTGATTGACAGCTCTGGTGTTGCCATGGTGACAGAAATCAGAAGATGTTACTGTAGTTCTAAAATAAATATGAATATGCATTAATTCATCTCACCCACCAAAAAAAAAAACAAAAACACAGATTCAGTATTCCTCAAAATGAATAAAAATAATGCAACTCAGAATATGACGCAAACCTGCAGTAATTAAATGTTAAACAACACAAATATGCTTTATGTATTTATTCCCATTCTATTAACCAATGTCTTTGCTTCTGACCTTAGAGAAGTAGCTCCGGTTGGAATGTTCTTCCGCGGGATGTGTGCAGTTCTGTTTATTAACCGCTAGAGCGCCAAAAGTTACATAATGCTGCTTTAATCAGATTGTGCTGGTTGCATAATTAACTTTATATAGTTATGTTGTCAGATTATTCATTAATAAATGCATATAAAATGACCACAATTTCTGTAATTAGTCAGTAACACTATAAAGCTGTATCATTAGCCTGATACATTAACTCCTAAGGCCTCAAAATGATTGACATGATCAAAATGTTGCTGTTTTCTATTACATGTACACGCTTAAAAATAAAGGTGCTTCACGATGCCATAGAAGAACCTTTTTGTCTAAATGGTTCCATAAAGAACCTTTAACATCTGAAGAACCTTTCTGTTTCACAAAAGGTTCTTTGGGGACGAAAGAAGGTTCTTCAGATTATAAAAAGGTAAGAAAGAGATGGTTCTTTAAAGAACCTTTGACTGAATGGTTCTTTGTGGAACTAAAAATGGTTCTTCTATGGCATCGCTTGAAGAACCCTTTGAAGCACCTTTATTTTTAAGAGTGTAGGCTACTGTATGTCATGGTTCACGTGCCTTTTTGCTGTGAAATCTTTAATAAACAACAAAATAACTTTTACATTTTTAGTTATAGTTGATATGAGATGGACTGAAGCAACTTAGCTTTACTTTGAAAATCATGTTAAAGTTAAACAACAGATTTTTTTTTTTGAACAAGATGTCAGTAAGCCCTTTTGTTTAGAACAAATATCTCTTAAAAGTCACCCACAACATTAAGTGTTTGTAATGACATTCACTTCTATTCTAAATGCCTCACCATAACCTCAACTTTTGCTTCTCTAATTTCCTAATAATATTAAGGAATATTTAATAGTACCATTAACACTAATGGAAATCTCGGTTGTCACACCTGTAAAACAGTGTTATTATTATTGTTAACTAAAATTAAAAAAATAAAAATAAAAAAACATTTTCACTACTTGACATAAAAATAATAATTATTTTATTTCAACAAGTTGCCAAGGCAACATTTCTCATTTTAATTTAGTTTAAATTGATCTACTAAAATAACTAAAACTACATAAAATAAAACAAAAAACTATAACTATAGATATATTTTAATAATAATAATAATAATAACGAAAATCTCATTCAAAATCGTAACAAAAATATAAATACTACTATAAAAATGTTTTTGTTATTATTGCCTTAAGAAACAAAATACAAATGATTTTTAGTTTGTAATTTCTGTCGACATAGAAAACTAAAACGTATTTTAAAATCTAAACATCATGTGTCTTGTGAATCACTGACACGTGCTCATATATGCTCAATTTATTGTTCATTGAGTGTGTTCACCTGCAAACTGAGTATTATGAGTGTAAAGGTAACTCATCTTCTAATGTCTGATTTCTCTGAAAAACTGCAGATCATTACAATGAAAGATCAGTGTAAATAGGCTATAGTCTTCTTCTACCATAATTCATAGGCAGCTGTGTGCATGCATCAAGATCAATGTACACAACAGTAATTTAAATATCATATATCGCCAAATCAACACTGAACAGCAGTTGATGTAGGGGCTAATGCTTTATTGACTCAGTCTAGCTTTCCAAAAGCATATATATATATTAGAGCAAACAGCGCAAATAGGCAGGGTGCAAGTGTCCCAGACAGATGATTGCACTGGGGCTTCAAGACTAAACGAATTAAAAACTCTTCACCACCGTTACCGCACCTCAAGACATAATTTTAGAGGTAGTAACGAGGCTTGAGCCAATGATAACGCAGATATGAGAGTCAGAGAAAGAGAGAGAGAGAGAGAGAGAGAGAGAGAGCGCAATTTACCCGAGTCTGTTCGTCTCTTTTCGGCAGCAGCCCCTCTACTAATAGCAAAACTGCATCAAGAACAGCACCGTTATTACCTCTATAGCAACAAATGTAATTTCGTGGGAAAATGTAAAATAGTTGATCATTTTTATCCTAATATTTCTTATTTTTATTGGATGGTCATTGTGTTGTGCGTTTTGGTTCTTTTGCTGTTGTAGTATGGGATGATTTTAGACTCAATGCCGCACATTAATGTAATTCATAATTCTACAGACACCGATTGAAAGGCATTTGTTTCAGTGTAGCAACGCAAATTCGCGAATTTTACAAATCGTGTACACGTTAATGAATTGCAATAGGCCTTGTTCATTGATAGTTGTGTGTGCGAGAGAGTGAAATGCTGCAAACTGCGAAAATGAAGTCTCAAAATGCAAACGAACCGAACAAGATCGACTCGAACAAGACGTTGATAAATGCACGCTTGTGACCTGACCCACAAATGCACAGATTCCTTTTTGCATGAGCAAGTTAGGACGTATTAATGGAGTCTGTTCGTCTCTTTTCGGCAGCAGCCCCTCTACTAATAGCAAAACTGCATCAAGAACAGCACCGTTATTACCTCTATAGCAACAAATGTAATTTCGTGGGAAAATGTAAAATAGTTGATCATTTTTATCCTAATATTTCTTATTTTTATTGGATGGTCATTGTGTTGTGCGTTTTGGTTCTTTTGCTGTTGTAGTATGGGATGATTTTAGACTCAATGCCGCACATTAATGTAATTCATAATTCTACAGACACCGATTGAAAGGCATTTGTTTCAGTGTAGTAACGCAAATTCACGAATTTTTCAAATCGTGTACACATTAAATGAATTGCAATAGGCCTTGTTCATTGATAGTTGTGTGTGCGAGAGAGTGAAATGCTGCAAACTGCGAAAATGAAGTCTCAAAATGCAAACGAACCGAACAAGATCGACTCGAACAAGACGTTGATAAATGCACGCTTGTGACCTGACCCACAAATGCACAGATTCCTTTTTGCATGAGCAAGTTAGGACGTATTAATGCAGAACAGAACATTTTTATTCACAAACATGTCTGTATTTGTACAAATCGCTGCACAATCATTTAATCCCGAATTCCACAGACTCAAACAGGCATTTGTTTGTGGTTAGTAAGATACATGCATTAAATTGATGTAGTGCATGGATAATTGTGCGTGCATCCATTAATCATTTTGAGTCTAAAATCATCCCATACCTGTAGGCTGTTAGGACCTTTGAAATAACTGAAATCATTTGGCGAAGTGATATGGACATGTAATGCGGTCAAGAGCTGCCTGGAACTTCTTTAGTTGTGCGTGTTCATCAATCAGATTCAAGTTGGTATAAAAGTAATTAATTCAGTTACATTTTTAATTGATTGACAGTTCTCAGAAACCAATAGAAACCTAACAGGGAACGTATGCAGAAATGTAGTTTGTGGATTCACAAACATGATGGCACCAAGATTGCTGATAAACACCCCAAACCAGATGAAATGGATTGTTTTATTGAGTTATTACTTCCATCCAACACCAAACTTTGACCATTTGAAATGTTCGTCTAAGCTCTAGCTTTCCCATTCTCCACAGAATATTGTGACAGCACTGAACTGTAATGAATAACCATCATGAATCTTGGTAAACCAAGGTTGACATATAGTACTTCCAATATGGAGTACAGAAATAGAGCCAGAAACAAAACTCAAACCAAGATACCCTGAAAGCTTGTTAACTAGCTCAACAAAACATTCATCTAACCAGTAGAGAAGATAATATAAAATTAGCTGGGGGTTTTTTTCTGTCCAAACAATAGACATTTTATGGTGTTAGTAGTTTTGGCATAACTTGCACATGACACAGTCTTAAAGGTTTTGTATTAAAAGCAACTTAAAGGAATAGTTCACCTAAAAATGAACATCCAGTCATCATTTTCTCACCCTCATGTTATTCCAAAACTCTATGACTTTCTTTTTTTTTTTTCAGTGGAAAAAAGATTTTTGAATAATGTTGGTAATCTTTGAAGAATGTTGGTAACCAAATCGCTTCGGTTCCCATTCACCTCCACTGTATGAATAAAAATACAAGTCAATGGGAACAGAAAATATTTGGTTGCCAACATTCTTGGAACAACGTGAGGCTGAGTAAATGATGACCGAACTTTCATTGTTGGCTGAACTATCTCATTAATACCCTGAGATCCATGCATTTTATCAGCACAGTTTTAGAAATCCTCCTTTAATACACATCAGTCGGCAGTTTGAAATCCTTGAAGCAATAAAAGGAGATGTCCCCATGATCCACCACTGCAAAAGTGACTGGGACGTCTCCGCTTTGGAAGGACAGCTGCTTCATGGCATTCAGATCAGGCACTGGACCGTCAAAACTGTCAATGTACAAAGACAGAAATAAGTTGGATTGATCAGATCAGGACTTTTACAGACATTACGGATTTCTTGTCACTTGATACAGATCCTGAGCATGTACGATTTTATCAGGAGCCAGATATATGCAAGCTCATACATTTCTATTTACATGCCATAGAAAATGTAAAAAAGAAAAGAAAAGTGCATCACTTAATCAGACAGCTGCAAAAACATAACTGATCTTCCAGTATGATCCAGCCACTGTACAACTAAGGCAAAATGACAAAACCAACACAGCAGGTAATAAGTCAGCAGACTCATTTCAGTGTATTGAGGCAGTGTGTTTACCTGCAGACACACATGCGGGTGTAAGGCTTTCCAGGGAGGCTCTTTTTAAACTCTGCCACCGTGTCCGGTTGGTAAACATCAAAACTAATCTTCCACTGGTCTGACGGGGACAAGCTGAGAAAACAGATTGTTTAAAAAAGCAGTTCGGTCATCTCAAACCCTTATTTGACTTCAATTTTGAGACAAAGGGCAAAGCTACCAGGTTACTCTGCTTCAGTACATGACTTATTATGAGGTTGCACAAAAGCTCATTTAGCAAAGGATAGTAAAGGTGGGCTATACTCACCTGGAAACCCCCTCAGACCAGCTCGAAGACTTGATAATGCTGATCTGGTCCAGCAGTTCACCTGCACCAGAACAGGACAAAAATATGAATGTCACATGGAAGACAAAAATGCCATTTTCCATGAACAGTTCAAAAGGTGCCCAATTAACTTAAGCGCAAAAACTATGTCCTTCGGAGATACTTTTTTTTTTTTTTTTTTTTTAAAGAATACAAACCTATTTTAATTATTACAAATTATTAACGCATATCCTTTTATTTACATATTATAAAATAATCAAACTGAAAATAACCTTTTAAATACAACTAACAATAAAAAAAATTGTTAAAGTTACTTAATGAGTATTAATTAGGTATCATGTACTTACAATGAACCATTAATATTAATCTTAATTTCTATACAAATACATTTTTAACATTTAAATTGCATAAATTACTATTACTCAATATACTGTAAACAAACATGAATTAATTCTATTATTATTATACAGTATTATTATTATTGATATTATATTTATTTATTTAGTATTTTTGTTACCATTGCTGTTATTGTTAGCTAAAACTACAACTATTAAAATTAGTCTAAATAAAATAAATGTAAAAAATAAATAAATACTCTTAAACTAAAATTAGAAATGCTTTTAAATTTGACTTAAAGGGATAGTTCACCCAAAAATGAAAATTCTGTCATTAATTACTCACCCTCGTGTCGATCTAAACCTGTACCCTCATGTCGTTCCAAACCTGTAAGACCTCCGTTCATCTTCAGAACACAAATTAAGATATTTTTGATGAATTACGAGAGCTCTCTGACCCTCCCATAGACAGCATTAAAATAATCCATGTGACATCAGTGGTTCAACCGTAATTTTACGAAGCTACGAAAATACTTTTTGTGTCCAAAGAAAACAAAAATAATGACTTTATTCAACAATTCATATCCTCCGTGTCACCCTGGACAACGTAGAAAACGTATCTGCGTGAAGCAGCTGACACAGAATAGCATACGCTGTTTACGTTCAGTGGATACTCTCCGAAATGGCCCCAGGGTGACGCGGAGGAGACGAATGGTTGAATAAAGTCGTTATTTTTGTTTTCTTTGCATACAAAAAGTATTCTCGTAGCTTCGTAAAATTACGGTTGAACCCCTAATGTCACATGGATTATTTTACTGATCTACTTTGTACATTTCTGGACCTTGATCGTGGTAATTACATTGCTGTCTATGGGAGGGTCAGAGAGCTCTCAGAATGCATCA